ATACTCAAAGATGCAAAGAAAAAAGAAAGAAAGCACTTATCGAAAATCAGGAAGTGGTACAGTATGATAAACCTGGCCGTCCTCCACTTCTTTTCAAGCATCTGAATTTACATGATCATATTTATGATTCAATTAAATTTGGAGCAGCTGATGAAAAACGAAGGAAAGAAGTTGTTAAGATACGAATTATCAAAAATTTACGCAAGAATCTTGAAGAGAACTATAATGTATACATAGCGCGAACAACATTGAATAATTACCTGTTGCCTCGTCAATTCAATTCCATTGCTGCAAAAGCGCATCATCATCCAGCTTGGGTCACAGTGGCTGGAGTTTCACGTACTGAAATACAGGACCATCCTGATGGTCACTACTGTCTTGCGTCTGTTAAATATGCAAGGCAATTTGCCACCGTCTTTGTCGATAAATCTGTTGTCATTTCTCAAGATGACAAGGCAAAGATAGGTCTTGGGATACCGGCTGTAGGTCGGACATTCTGCACATTACAGTCAGTTCACGAGCCTGTTCATGTAGCCGATCATGACTTTCCTGCAGGATATAGGCAAAAGTTAATTCCATCGGTTTACCTTATGATCAAACCGAATGAATTAAATGATGATTTGAGAACGGGATAACTTGCTATTTTTGTACGTCGTCAATGGTCCCTTGGAACTTCTTCACTCACGCATATGCAAGACCTCGAAAGCCTCATTCTAGATCCTTAATATGATGATGTGTTGAAGGCTGACAGAGAAATTCGACCTATCTGGATATTATTAGTGGATGGGAGACCGGATGAGAATCCAAGACATTTATAGAATATTAAAAAATACATTCAGCTTTTTGAAAATTTGATTTAGATTACCTCACTGTGCGGACACACGCACCGGGACAATCCAAGTACAATCCTGTTGAAAGGGGCATGGCAACACTATCCGAAAAATTGGCAGGTATTACTCTATCAATCGATCACTTTGGGACGCATCTAGATACACAAGGTAAAGTGATTTATCTGAAATTGGCTCTTCAAAACTTTCGATATGCCGGAGAGGTGCTTTGTGATATTTGGCATCGCAATTTGATTTTTGGAAGAAGCGTAAATGCACAATATGTCAAAGAACTTGCAATCCATTTGAAAACCTGGAGTTTAGAGGTACAGAAAAAGAAAAAGAAAAGGCAGGAGCACGAAAACAACAAAAAAAGAAACAACAAGAAAATAGAAATGACTCATCAGAATGTTTTGTGCCGTGGTCATAGATTGAAGATCATTGTAACCTGTGTCATTATTCTCTTGATATTAAAAGATGTACAGATACAAGTTGTTGTGAACCAACTTACGCACAAGAGGCTATGGATTTTCTTCAGTTAAACAATGGTTTTTTACCTCCAGTCACAAAAGCCAGGGACAGACATT